CTAACCTAACCCCCGTGCTAACCCCGATTAAGGCCTTGTCCCTTCCCCCCCGCCAGCCCCACTGCCGCCTGCTCTCCCCCGGCAGCGCAACGGGCGCTGGGTTTGAGCCTGCCACTGCCGTTCCCCGGGCGGGCAGCCAAACTCCGGCACCGCGAGCAGCCTCCAGGGCCGTGCCGGCACCCGGCTGTGGCATCCCGGCTCCCCCCGACCCGGCTCAGTGGGGGGATGCCCTGCCTGGGATCCCCCATTGCAGCACGGTCCCTGGGATGTGCCGGAGGCAGATTTTGAAGGGTCTGGACATGGGGTAGGGGACAAGTATCTGGGAGGGTGGGAGAGGCGATAGCAGTGTCGGGAGGGTGCGTGCAGCCCCAGCGAAGGAGATAATCCTTCTCGGAGCCACCCTGATAAACACTTGCAGATTTGGGCCGCAAAGCCAGGCTGGTCACACCCTCAACGGAGGCTGAACGCTGCGAAGAGCTGCCTCTGCTTGCAGGGTGTGCAACTGGAGCCGGGAGATGTCCCAGCGCCCCGGGAGCTCACCCTCCACTCCGGTGTCCTGGCATGGGGACGGGGGCAGGACAGTATCCCTGCGGGCTGCGTGCACCCCCTCTGAAGGCTGTGCCTCAGTTTCCCCAAGTGTGGACCTGTGCTCCCTGCAGTCCTTTGGCACCCACAAAGGTCTCCTTGCTCCACCGGCCCTCCCACCCCCGCATACCCCCATGTCTGGATCGCACTCCCAGGACTGGCTCCGCACGGCAAACCCGTCGGCTGGGAAAACCTGCTTCCCATTACCATTCCTGACTTTTCCCTCCGCCGCCTGGCAGCGGGCGGCCGGGCCCCCCCCTGCCCCCACGGGCGGGCGTTTCTGGGCCTGCCTCAGCCGGCCGGGGGGGCTCGAGCATCCTCCTGCTGCCCCCCGCGCCTCCGATGGCATCCTGCGAAAGCTCTGAGGTTTGGATGATGGAACCAGCTCCAGGCATCCCGGCGGCTGCCCCAGTGCTCCCGCCGCTGTGTGGGCACCCCTGGGGTGCAGGGTGGCGGTGAGGAGGGGGGCTGGGGGTGCAGGCAGTGCTCCCCGTGCCCCAGTGGTTTCGGTTGCTGCCCTGATCTGGGACACAGGCTGTTCCCTGCTCCTGCTCAGGGTCCCGGCAAGGAAAAAAAAAAACAAACCCAGGGCGCGCGAGGCCGAGAGGAAACGCCAGGAACAAGGGGCAGGTCCGCTTCCTCCTCCCACTTCCCAAGGCTGCTCTCGCGTGGGAAAGCCAAGGCCAAGGCACCGCCAGAAGCCCCGCCCGCA